ACAACCAGCCAAACTAGTGGAAATGCATGAACAGTGGAGCAATAGCTGTGGAGCCCCCATGGTACTGGACTAGGCCCTCTGGATAGGCGAGACAGTTGTTTAGCTTGAACTGTTTAGGGGGCCCTCAGGCAGTGGGATCGGGACCCATCCCTGGTGCATGAGCTGGCTTTTTGGAGCCTAGAGCCTATGCTGAGACACTTTGCGAAGCCTTGGTGCAGGGAGGAGGGGCTTGGACCTGCCTCTTCTGAATATACTAGGCTCTGCTGACTGCCCGTGGGAGACCTTGCCTTGGAGGAGATGGGAATTGGGGGTGTGTTGGGGGGAAGCCTGGAGGGCAGGAGGAGGGAGGAGAGGGAGTCTGTGGTTGCTATGTAAAATGAATAGAAAATCTCTTAATACTAAATAAAAATGAAAACAAATAGATTGCAAAGGTGGGTCCTAACTCACATTGAGATTGTATCACATCTAAATGGACTAACTACTCCAATTAAAAGTTGAAAATTGCAAGAACAAAGTTTTTAATGACCCAGTTATAAAAAAATTTAAAAAAAAAAGAGTTTGAGGCTGAATCTGAAAGAAACTTAAGATTCTTAGTTTACTGTTTGTTTGTCCCAGGATCCTCCTGTTGTTCCTTCCCTGCTCAGACACTCAGGAATTGTAAGCACCAGGACTTTTGTTGGTCATCTGTGAATGGAGAATGGACATCATCAGCTCTGCCACTGGGATGCTGTTTGTTACTTGAGCAAGTTTAACATTTCTGGTCCTTTGTGTTTTCTTCTATGAGTGGAACATAAAAAATACTATTTCATTGGGTAAAGTAGACACATAATGAAATAATTATTATGATAGCAAAATGACTAAGTATTTGCCAAGTGTCAAGCCCTGAGCTAATATTGTTATTATTTTTCTTCTCAATAACAGCCCGTAGTTATATCTATTCTAAGGGCAAGACTGTGGAAGCTTGGAGTCAGGGATAGCTCTGTGTCTCCTAAATCTGGCAATCTAAGGGCATTTAATTCTAATCATAGACCCTTCAGAGATCTGTAGGTAGAATTTGGTGGGCTTGTGAACTTAAATAGGGAGAGTGTTGTTTTCACAAGGCTCTAATTGAAATGTATGTTTCTCAAATGATACATGTAGCAAAAAAAACCAAAGACACAAACACCAGTGCAATGTGTCACTGGGAGAATTAAGTCACAGTTGCAACAGAAAGCATGAAGCACTGTGCTCAGTGCTTGGAGAGATGGCTCAGTGGTTAAGAACATTTGATGCTCTTGCATAGGCCCTGAATTCAGTTCCAGCATCCACATGGTGGCTCACAAACACTTGCAACTCCAGTTTCAGGGGATTTGACACCCTCTTTGACCTTTGTTCAAATCAGCCACACACATGTTGCATATACATACATACATGCAGACAAAACATTCATACACATGAAATAAACCTTTGGGGGAAAAGATTGTGCTGTCATGACTTAGAAATTGACCACAAGGCATTCTGTTTTAGTACATTTGCTAAAAGTGCATATATTTTTACATCATAAATATGTGGAGATTTAAAACATTTTCATAACTGTATTGTAAGATAATGAGCTTTGGAATTCTATTGATTTTATGTATTGAAAAATATTATTCTGAGCAAGGAATCTACAGGCTTTACCAGATACCCCAAGGCACCAAAAGCACTGAAATTTAGGTCTCTAAACAGACATAGTAGTACATATTAGAAATTCTAATGCTTAGAAAGCAAACATAGGATGATTCCAAGTTTAAAGCCAGAGACTCTGAAGAAAGAGGGGAAGAGAAAGAAAGGGGTAGGGGAAGAGGGTCTGTCTGAGTCCAAGACTGGGTGGGAACCAAGTACCTAACAAGTACTCAAAATGCTGGGAATTACTAGGACATGAGGCAACATTTTGGTGTTGCGAGAAAATCAAAGTGAGAAGGACTTCACCCTGCTGGCGTTCCACATTTTCAGGGAAGGCTCAGTCAGGTGAGAGGGCAAGATGGAAGATTAACCCAGACTTCCAATAGAATCCCAAAGAAAGTGACTTCCTGGCCTGGGAACACAGTGAACAAGTATTGGCGTCAATAGTGCTGCCCACCAGGTCTATTTATTACAGGACAAAGCTTCCAATGCTGGTCACAAAGCCAAAGGACGCACCTACAGAGGCCCCCTCTCTAGATGCACGTAGTGTCATTCCATTTCCTCTAAATCCTGAAGTCTTGGGAAGAGTTTCAGAGGTCAGATAACCAGTGTGCTGCTGCTCAAGCCTCATCCTGAGCAGCTGCCTTGAGACAGTCAGGAGCTTGTTCTGCGTACTGGCTTGCCCTAACTCCCACCCACTTCATCTACCCGCTGCAGGGGTGCTTAGGGACCAGCATGCTTTTCCAGCTCCCTCACTGATCCACATGCTCATGCAAGTGAGAACCGCTGGCAGAGCAAGCAAAGACGTGAGTTCAAATCCTCGTTTCATCATTTGATGAATTGATTTGAATAAATTCTTCTAGTTTTAGATACATCTCTAAACTGCAGCTCTGAAGCAAATGCTTGTGAGGAGTATGTGCCAAGACACCGTGTTCAGCGATATCTGTCTCCGCAAAGATACCTTGCATGTTTGCTGTTTGTGAGTTGTGACTTAACTCAGGTAGCTCAAGAAACAGAAGTGTGTCTCTCCCCACAAAGGCATAATTCTCTGTACTGTGACTCCATCAGTAGGGCTCCAATGTGTCCTGGTTGGTAACTCGACCTTTGAACATGTCCAAGTGTCAGAAGAGCACTCTTCTCTTCCATATGCCCCTGACTGCCGGGCTCTGCATCAGAGTTTACTAGCTCTGTTCTGTGTGATACCAAGTAACCCTCTGGCCAGTGGGGGAATCTCCCAACCAAGGATAAGGCCCGGACTATGACTACTGATTGTGATCCACATTCCCCATTGCTTGACTGGGAGAGCCTTCCTGAACATCCCCACCTTGGGCGTGTTATTCCAGAAGGACTGCCAGTCTCTGGATGTGAGCGGCCACCGTGCTTTCCTACCCCAGTGCTGGCATCTCTGCACCAGTTGAAGCTAGTGCACAATGGTTGCCAATTGGTGCATCTCTGGGCTATGGCTTTCTTTCACATTGAAAATGTTTCTGTTCTTGTACTTGCCAGCCTAGGACTGTTTCCTCATGGGAAGTCCCTGGAATCAGTTAATACATGATACAAATCAGACTTGGATAGGGGAATTCTGAGAGTGTGTGCTTAATACTCTTCTTCCTTTAGAGACAGGCACCCAGTATCTAGTCCTGGATGACCTAGAACTCACTATATAGACCAGACTGGCCTCAAACTCAGAGGCCTACCTCCCTCTGCCTCCTGAGTGCTGGTTTTAAAACACATACCACCACACCTGTCAATACTTTCTTATAGAGTTTATATTAGTGAGAGCAAGGAAATGGAATCAACCCCGAAATACCCATTAAAAGATAAATTGATAATAAACACGTGCAACATAAAACCGATGGAATACTACTCAGCTGTAAATAAATATGAAATCATGAATTTACAGGAAAACACACAGATCTTGAGAGTACACCATTAAACACGATTCATACAAAGAAAACAAAAACTGCACATTCTTTCCTGCATGGGTGCCAGCCTATAACGTACACGTGTGAGGGTAATATTGGGTGATGACGAAAGATGAGGACAACACACAGGACAAACACAGGAAAAGATATGGGGGATTGGGAACTGCAAGGAAGGCCAAGGGGGCAGAGAGATGGGGTTAGGAGAACCACAAAAACACACTCTGTCCCCAAATGTCGTAACGCTATCTAATACATTATATGCTGATTTTTAAGTTTAAAAATAATATCAATAAAAGTGAAAAAATAGTTTACATACAACCTTAAGCCTGAGCCATCTAACAAATGGCATGATAAGTGATAGGAATTCCAACCACGCCCCCATGGTCGTGCATGCCCGGCGGGACACTTAGTCATCTCCACCTAGTCATTTCCGGGTCCTGCATGCCCCATGCCCCATGGTTACACGGTCACATAGTTGTGTGGACGTGACCAAGTGATCTATGAGCATGCATGGAATAGCCACGTGGGCTTGTGTGTGTGGGTGCGTCCTGGCCTTTACAAGGCAGAGCCATGTTCCCCGCCCTCTTTCTCGCATGTGTCCTTCCAGAGGCCTGATCACCTCTATCCCTTTCTCTTTGTCTTGATAAAACTCTTGTTAGTGAATTCTGTCGTGTGTCGTGACTTTTCCTTGGGGGCAAGAGCACCACAAAAAACCATCAGTAAGGTCCCCTGTTTGCTAGTTTTCCTGCCAGATTCTCCATCCCCTCCCAAGAGCCTATCTTTGTTTCTCATTTTCATTATATTGATTTGTATGGAGCACTGCATACATAACATAGGGTATTTGTGGAGGTCAGATAACAGTTTGCAGGAGATAATTCTCTCCTTCACCACGTGGGTTTCAAGGATCAAAAGCAGGTTACAAGCTTGGCAACAAGCTGCTTTTCCTGATGAGCCATCTTGCCAGTCCGCCTTCACTCCTTAAGTGAATTACTTTCTCTCGGTGTTTCAGACTTTCAGCCATACTCTAACAGGTTTCTGCTCAATGCTGACGGAAGTCAGCCAGGAAGTTCTATAATTGGGGGCAGGAGGGAGCCTTATCCCATCCTGTCAGTAGTCATGCCTACTACAGTCTGCTTACTAGTAGATGCAAATTTCTGAAGTGCAGCCAGATTCCTTGCCATTAATGCAAATTTAGTGATGATAAAGAGCCACAGCAATGCCATATGTAAGGACTCAGAGTGAACTTTGACGTGTACATACTTACCACAAAGACTAAACAACGTGTCTGGAAATCTTGTCTAAGTCGCTGACAGCGAGGAGCCTCAGCTCCCTGTGAGGATCAGTACTGTGAGTCTCAAAGGCTCATTAATACCTGGTAGAAACTCGGCTCAGGCTATAGGTATTGGGAAGGATGAGAAGACACCTGGAGCATCACATATAATCAGTTTATTGCCAGGTAAGAAATTCATATTAATATAGTGAATACATATGTTTACAAATAAACATTCTTAGAAAACAAACAAATGTTTTTTTTCTTCATTGTAGGAAGTGTTATTGTATCATAAACTCCGCAGTGTGACAAGTGTTAACACAGGGTTACTTGCAGAACATACAATTACTAAAATATTTGCACATAAAATATGCTCCATTTACACACACAAAAATAAAAACTGGGGAAGGTTAGATGGGAATTCCAGGCAGAGCCCAAGGCGGATGGAGGCTGAGACACTCCAGGAAGGTGAAGGAAACCAGATTCTGGTCCCATGGAGTTAGAAATGAGGGATCATACGGGCAGAGGAGAGAATGGTTTTAATAGTCATATTTTTCTCTTCTATTTCTCCCCCAAGCTGGCCACAAGAGCCTTGTCATGTGGCAGCCATCAATTGTCCTACTAGTCATGTTCCCTTGAAGTATCAGAAGGTTTATCCAACCTCCCAAGAGGAAGCCAAAGAATAAACAGATCTTGCCTGTCTCATTGTCCCTCCTTAGTTCCTCTCCCAAAGTCAAGTGGGAAGTAATGAGACAGTGCTCTGTGAGTTGTCCACGGCCCGCATTTCTTGCGAAGTATATGCTACATCTTAGTGGCCAAACTGTATCTTTAAAGTCAAAACTACAGTTGCAGACCTAAGAGTCAAGTTCACTGGATGAAGTCTACTATGAAAAAAAAAAGAAGAATGAGCAAGAAATAGAATACTATAGACAAGGAATCCAGAAAGACCCTTAAATTAGAATTAGATAAAGGGGAGGTGAAGTGAGTGGAGGGAAAATGAGCTATAAGGAAGGAAAGGGTTGCAGAACTTGACCTGGAAAGCATCTCTCAGGTAGGTCAACCCAGTATTTCTTGAAGTATGTTACTAGTACATGCAGACTGTATGTCATAGAGGTAGCATATTTAACACCAACTTAAAAAAAGATTTTCTTTTCATCTGCATTCCCCTTCACTCAATTATTCCAAGACAACTCTGTCTTGGGTACCAGCATCTTTAACAACATTAATGTCTTTTTGAGAGAGAAGAGACCAGGCCAGACCTTCACTAGAGTTTCATCTTTGAGACCTTCCTGTTCTCCATAATGCTTACTGTCTATTCATGATAATTGATGCTGGGGTTCTATATGTGATAAAGACAGATGTTTCCCTTTTAAAATAACATTGCTTAAAAGTGAATCCACTTAGATACCAATACTGTGATGGTAATCCCCAGATGATGATGTGTTTCGAGGGTAGAGCTAACTCATGTCAAAGAGAGATGTGCATGCCAGCAGTTCATACTCCCTTCTGGAGAGTGCTGGGGTCTCAACATTTACTCTGACCTCTGACCTCTGTGTTGCCTTTCTCTGCACCTCTTATATGGGAATCTTATAGAGTTTGTTCTCTGCAGAATTTCTTCTGTAAATAAAAACAGAGTACTATTTTTAGAAAACTGAAAAGGCTCAGGCCAGATTCCCCATGCTTCCAATGGGACACAGCCCCAGAGAGATCAAAGGTTTTGCCAGGCTCTTCATACTTACTTGGAACATGGAGAATAATATTTGGATATGCTGATGTTGTGATGTCAGAGAGACCCAGGAGGCAGAACATCACATGGAATGCTCCAACTCACTTTCACCTAGATTTTTACACCAAAAAAACCTGTGAGTCATTGGAAGGTTCCTGTTAATTAGCTAAGACCTTCAGGACCTATTTGAAGACTTTCCTCTTTAAACAAAATTCTCTTGCTTCTCCATGCATATGTCTGCACTTCCACTAAACAAAGGACTTTTAGCAGGACCCTCCTTCTTGAGACCCAATAGCCGTTGGCTCTAGGAACCAATCTGTAAAGCAACTTTAAGAGAGTCCAAGGAGGAAAAGATGGCACAGAATATCTCTGGAGGTCATCTGGTGGGATTGTGGGAATTCTGGGAGTGTCCTTAGGTCCCCCTGACATTATAGCAGCCCCTTCAAAGAGGATTAATTGGCTGGGCTCACTCTACAAAGGGAAGATGGAACATCACTACTGTAGAGGAAACAGGAGGAGGAAGGCTAAGAGAACAGAAGAGTTACTTAAAACAAGACTGGCACTTGAACAACACCACATTGAAGGCACCACCCACGCTTATGACATTTTCACTCCAAAGCAGTTGAAGTTTGGCAGCAGCGGCAGCGACACGCTGAAGGGGGGAGGACGTTGGGGACAGACACTTCATAGAGGACATTTTTGTCGTTGTCCAGGTCTTGGAGGCGAAGGAGAAACACCAGGAAGTGAAGGCTTCTCAGTCCTCTTCACACCTCCTGTTAACTCTCCAACTGCAAATTTTCTAAGCCCTGGACAAAATTAATATGCTGTTCATTTTATGTGTCACTTGAAAAGTTCATTTTTTATTATTCTCTGGACCCTCATAAAAGGCTCATCCCTCCCAACATCATGGTCTTTCAGAAAGTTCTCTAGAATGTTCTTCCCTTCCCAGCGCTGACAGTGGGTTTAGAGAACATTTACTTTGTGAGTTTTTCTGCTTTCAGCTTCCATGGTATGCAAAGTCCCATCAGTGTAATGCTTAGAGTCCATTACTGCCTCACACTCATCACTATTCTGTGTTTGCATCACTTCTTGGGACTAGGAAATGCTTGTGATGTGAACAAATTCTTCCCCAAGCACTCTGAAGCTACCCCTGCCTGTGTGCCCACCCTCTTCCTTTTACCGGGAAAGACAGAACATGGGGAGTGTGCTCCAGGGGCAGTTTATCTAAATTGTGCTACTTATATATATTTGTTATAATGGATTTCAGTTTCCAGTTTAGGGGGAAAAGGAAAATGAGCCCCCACAATTTGGGCCTGAAGCTGAAAGTTTCCCCTCTCCTGTATTGCTGAATGTCCATGCTTCGGTCTTGCTCAGCTGCCTGCTGGAGCATATTAGGCATGACCCAGGAAAAGCATGATTCCATATCACGAGTAGGTCTGTGGTTGGTTCCTGTAGAACGGAGTGTGTGTGTGTGTCTGTTGGGGGTTTGGGCAAGACCAGGGAGGTGTAGGTGGGATGGTATTTTTTGCCCCTCTCAGTTGAGTATAGTCTCCAGGGTACTCCCTGAAGTGAAAGCTCAGACAGTCACTTCTGTTTTGCTGTTGGTGATGAAGTATGGCTGTGTGGGTGGGAAATGCTGGGTGCGAGTCCCCAAGGGGTCGCAAGAGCCTGACTCAGCTATGCCAAGCTTGCCCTTGTTGCCATAAGCCTGTCGCCGGAGAGATTGGTCACTGGGGTCCCAGGTCTTAAAGTTGGCAGTAGAGTTGTAGGCCAGGGGATGAGGGGGCATCTTGTTGGTTCGAGACTTCTGTCCATTCTGCTGGGCAGGCCCATGCTCTGGGCTGAAGGCCCGGGGCTCATCTTCCACTCTGACAGGGTGCAAAGGGAGATTCCCCTTGGCAGCCAGCTCCGCCAGGTGCCTTCGCTTGGTGTAGAAGTCATCATTGACCTTGTCAGCTGCACAGTGGGGTGGGTGGATGGAGAGAGAGGGCAGAGACAGGGGAGAGAGAAAAGATAGTTAGGGAGTTGGACTGGTCAGTTTGATAGTACTGCAAAAATGGGCTGACAATCCAAACAAGACACATCGGGACTCCACCCGGAACAAGACAGAGGCAAGCATGGCACCATGCCCTTTTCACAGTCCAGAGCAGGAACAAGAGGTTTAAAGACGCACTCAATCAAACACATCTAGACCATCCCAATTAAACACATCTCCCATCGCAGTCCACACCACCTGCCCCTAACCTTGGATTTTCTAACATTCAAGTGTTGCTTCTTCATCACTAAAATAATGGTCCTCACTAAAGAAAACACTGGACATGTTGAGAAATGTTTATATCATCTACCACTCAATAGCAGTATTGGCTGACAGATGTATCTTCATCTGGCCTCTTCTGGGTTTTGTATGTATGTGTTGGAGGAACACATGAGGACAAACACCAGCTTCAGTTGCCTTTCTGAATTACTCTCCATCTTGTTTTGTGAGGCAGGATCTCTCATTTTCACCAGAACTCAGATTCTGCCCAATGGCCAGCCACAGAACCTCAGGAATTCTCCTGTTTCCATTTCCCCAGCACTGGGATTATGAGAGCATGCCATTAACTTGACTGTTTAAATGTGGTTTCTAGGTCTCCAACTCAGGTGTCCCTGCTTGTAGAGAAAACACTTCACCAACCGAGCCATTTCTCTACCCTCTCCTGGATTGTTACTCGTTTGTATGATTGCTTTAAGCTTTAACTAGTATAGTACTCAAATCCCGGTTCTGCCACCGGCCTGCAGTGTAACTTTGGCTGTCTTACTTAAATTCTACCCCTATTTACTTCTGCATAAGGAAAATACTCAAAACAAACAAAACAAGTGCATTTCATGGTGTTGTGTGCATGGCTAAGTGATTCAGCGTGTAGTGAGCACTTTCACCACTACCATCAACACAGCTTTACTTCCTCCTGTAATGTCTAGGAGCATCCCCTCGCTCGCCATAACTAACTAACATCCTAATGACTATCATCAACTATCAAACTTAATCCCTTTATCAATGAAAAGTTAAGCATGCTAATGTTACACTCTTATAAATAAAGCCTAAATGAAAATCTTTTTACTCAAATCTTTTCAATTAAGATACATTCTAAAACACATTTTCTTAATCTGCACCAGAAAGTAGCAAACTGTGGCCCCGGGCACCACTGAAGTTAGCTACCATCTGTTGTTGTATATAATGTTTTCTTGAAAACGAAGCCACGCCCATTTGCCTATGGCCCATGGCTCTGGTGTGATTGAGTTACTGTGGCAGACAATCAGTGGCTTGAGAACCTGAAATGTCTACTGCTCTGCCCTTTAAGAAAAGGTTGACTGACTCCTGATCTGGATTACCCAATGTAGAATGATTTCTCCAAAGAGTAGAAATGTTGTAAGGCTCTTGATTTTACCAACCAACTATTAAGATTTGAGCCAACTTTCCCAGTTTCACCACACCCAGTCCTTCACCGAATGATCCATTTCTCCCCTCCTCCTCACTTCATTATCTTTTTTTTTTTGCATTTGTTTTTTGAGAAATTCTTAAATGAGTACTGTATTTACATCATTTACACTATTCTCCCATACCCCATATCTCCCCCTCAAATTCCCTCTTTTTCGATTATTATTGTTACGTGTGTGTGTGTGTGTGTGTGTGTAATCTGATGAGTTCTCTTAGTGTTGCTGATATGTACATGCACTTGGGACTGGGTGGATAACCAGTCAGGGGACTCGTCCTGGAGAAGATTGCTTCTCCCTTTTCAGGAGCCATTCAATGCCTGTAGCTCTTTACCTAGAGGTAGGACCTTATTTATTTAGATCCATATTTATCCAATAAACTGATGATTCCTCTTTTTTCATTTCCTCTTATTTTATCTTGTAATTTTTATTTCTAAGATTCTTTATAATTATAGATTCATTTTTTAACAATATATTTTTGAAATTGCATCTCACTAAGAAGTATTTGTTGTTCATTTACCTATGCTGCTCACACCTAGCATCTCATAGCATTCATTCTATGTGAAGCTACAGATGTGGGAACCACAGTTCCACGTACTTTCATCATGTGATCTTTCTATACAAAAGATGGGCATTTTGACTTCTGTACATGGGTTCTGCTATACAAACTAGGGAGCTGTCAAATTCAAACATGGGAAATGACCCAACTGAGGTTACCCACAGCTAGTAGCTCAATCCTGGTAACAAAAGCAGCTACATGGGATCCAAAAGACAAATATTCAGGTACCCAGAACCATCTCCAAACATGTTTAATCAGAATCACTGAAAGGCCAGTCCAGACACCCTTTGTCTTTAAGTCCATGCAATCAATCCTAACCCACAGCTGGACCTGGGAACTCCAGGAGCATCCTATCACAGTGGCACAGGTAGTTTTCTAGAAAATCAAAGAGCAATGGCTTCCCAACACACTACTGGTATCCTTGGTAGGATCCTTCCATAATATGCTCTTCTACCAGGCACCTAGCAGTGCTCCACTCCACAGCTGGTCCACGCTTCGTTCCCTGGTGCTCATCTTGTTCTCTAGAACTCCACAAGGGCCAAGCCAGGTCTGTGTTTGTCTTCCCTGTCATAACAACATGAAGCTTGGTCTCTAGCAAATATTGGACATATAAATAGTCAATGGTGAGTGTATAAGCAAAATACCATAAAGCATAGAGGAGCACACCTGGTCAAGAGTATGATGGAGAAATTCCCTTTCCTCTTGCCTCCCAGTCCTCTCTTACTGAAAATCTTACTTACCTTCATTATGTACCCTGTCATGACCTAGCATGCTCATTTGTGTATGCCTACTCCTCAGACATTAGACTAAGCCCAAAGTCTGCTCAGAACATGGTTCAAAGTTTCCTGTTGTTCGAATCTTAGATGGTCTTATAATAAAAAATGTGGAGCCAGATATTGAGGGGAAAGCTGAAAGATCAGAGAAGCAGAGAATGCCACAGCCAACCTCACCTCACCAACTCCTCAGCCGATCCTGTTTCCTCAGACTGAAAGCCTCTGAGTCCTCACTCAAAAGGGTCTCAGCTGAACTACTTTAGTTTCTGTTTCCTCACACCTTATATACCTTTTACTTCCTGGGACTAAAGGCGAGTGTGCTTCCCAGTACTAGGATTAAAGATGTTTGCTACCATTGCCTGCCTCTGTCTCCAGTGTGGCCTTGAACTCACAGAGATCCAGACAGATCTCTGCCTCCCTAGTGCTAGGATTAAGTGTGTGTGCCACCACTGCCTGACCTCTATGTCTAATCTAGTGGCTGGCTCTGTCCTCTGATCCTCATGCAAGTTTATTAGGGTATACAATATATCACCACAGGTTCCCATTTTCACAAGTGGAAAAAAAACAATCATGAAAGAGGAAGGCCTTCTCAGAAAACTATAAAGAGAAGTAAACATGGGAACATTTGACTCTTGGGCTGTTAGGGAAGATGGGTGGGTCCTCTTGGCTTCCTCCATACCCAACTGGAACTGGTCTCTTGGTGAACCTGGTATTGGAAACACCTTGGGAAATGTAGAATAGATTTTTTTTTTAAAAAAAGTGTGTAGACTCTGAAATCAGACAGACCATAGAGATGCCACTAAACACCTTGTACCTGTTTCCTTAGGTTGAAATGGGGATAACACTAAATACTGTCTGTAGCTAGAGTTTTCCTGCCTGGCCCACAGTCAGGACAAATCTCTCTCACCTGCCAGTCCCACAGTCGCTCAGATCCGACCAAGTAAACACAGAGACTTATATTGCTTACAAACTGTATGGCCGTGGCAGGCTTCTTGCTAACTGTTCTTACAGCTTAAATTAATCCATTTCTATAAATCTATACCTTGCCACATGGCTCGTGGCTTACCGGCATCTTCACATGCTGTTTGTCATCATGGCAGCTGGCAGTGTCTCTCACTCACTCAGCCTTCCACTTCCCAGCTTTATTCTCCTCCTTGTCCCGCCTATACTTCCTGCCTGGCCACTGGCCAATCAGTGATTTATTTATTGACCAATCAGAGCAATACACTTGGCATACAGACCATCCCACAGCAACTGTCAGACTTATTATGAGGAATAAAGCATATGTGATATATATATATATATATATATATATATATATATATATATATATTACGCACAATAATTCCTAGAGCATAATATACCTTCTCAATACATGTATTTTACCTACTTCTTGCCTGACTGGAGGAGCACAGAATTACAATCAATACACACTTATTGAGCACTTGCTCTGTACCAGGCAACCTAGTGGGCCCAAAGTGGGCATCCATCAAACCAATCTGCTTCCTTGTGGTTTCTTTCCTTTACTACCTACCTAGTGTATTGGTTAAGTGGCCAGTTACTCCAAGAGAGGACATACAGAAAATGAGCAGTGGTCAGGGAAGGCTTCCATAAAGAAACCATCTTTAAGGTGACATGCAAAGGTGTGAGTGACTCTTCAATGTGTCACAAGACTGACCGTAGTCCTCTGCAACTCTTTCTATCAGGAGACAGTCTATTTCTGCACACCTAGAATTGAGCTTGCTTTATCGCATGCTTTGACTAAATTGTAGCAGCTTTTGGGAGCAGCTGCTTGAACCTCCTTCTGTGTGAAACCCCCTTTTTTATCCTTAAAGGAAAGAAACCCACAAGCTTCCTACTCCCATTCAACACAGTCAACAGCCTTCCAGTTACCAGATAGCTAGTGAGATCAACCTCCTGGACAGCACAGTTACAGTGCCTAGTTAAGTCCTGCCTAGAGCATCCAGTCACACCAGAAGTAGGCTCAGAATCATGATTCCAATAAGTGGTAGCTCTGCTGAGCCACTAAGTGTTGGAACCACTTGATAATTGCTACACAGCAGCCAGCATGTTGCAAATCCCTGTGGTGGGAAGAAGCATGGTAGCTTTGGGGATCTGAAATACTCTGGTGGTACAGGGAGGAAAGCAAAATT